TGGATGTTCTCTATCTGTGTTTCCTGCTGATTCCTCCACATCCCTGGCCAAAGTGCAGTGAAGCCAGAGAATTTGCTGCAGGAGGTATTTCACTTGTTGTAGATGTGTGTTAGAGAGGGTGAGTCCCACCCCTGGTGTGCTGCTCTGGCCATTTCACTCCCAATTAAGGGACCCAGAATAGAGTTAGAACTTGTGCAGAGCCATCACTCTGTCCCTTGTGATCCCAGATCCCCCTGATATGTTCCTCCAGGAGCTTCCCAAGCACATTAAGTTGTTCCTTTTTAGGAAGGTTTTGGTTTTTTTTTTTTTAAAAATTTATTTTTTCCCCCTCTGGTTTCACATCATTTAAAGGATTTGGATTATTGGGAAAAGCACACCTCGGAACGAGCTTTGCAGCATCACACGCTCCGCTCCCAGCGCCCGATATTTGGAATTCAGTGTGGGATAGATGATAAGCTGAGCTTTGCTTTAATAAACCTCACGACTCCCAGAGTGTGAAACTCCTGGCAGTTTCTGACAGGGGTGCAAACTCCAGGCTGTTAGCTTATTAAAATCAGGATTTTTGGTGGGTGCAGGAGGGGTCTCGTGAAAGAGCAGCCCTGATGGAGCAGGAGAGAGGGATCAGCAGATTTGGAGGTGGAACTTTGGGCCCACTTGACTGGACAGTTGAGATAAATTAACTAAAAATGCTCATTCTTCCAATTATTCCCTCTTTGGCCTTGTCCTTGCCAAGGGAATTTTGTAGATTGCTTGGAGTGTGACGGTGCAAAGTCTAACACAGGTGGGCCTGACAAAGCAGGGCTAACTTTGCAGGACCTAAACCACTGTGTTTTCTCTTAAACATTGAGCTCATCTACCTAATTAGCTCTTTGGCTGTAACTGTGCCTTGTCCTTATGTGTGTTTAACATGTGTTTAATCAAGAAGGGCTTTTCTCCATAGAATTATTCCTGGTGTGGCATGTCCAGAGCACAGACCCCTGGGCTTAAGATCATTTCTTAAGTGATAGGACAAGGGCTGATGGTTTTAAACTGAAGGAGGGTTGATTAAGGTTGGAATTAAGGAATAAGTTTTATGGTGAGGGTGGTGAAACAACCACCAGCCTTTGAGTATCTGGGCTTTGAACAGCCTGGTTTAGTGGAAGGTGTCCCTGCCCATGGCAGGGGGTTGGAATGAGGTGATTTTTAAGGTCCAATCCAGGCCATTCTGTGATTCTGTGACCTCAGTTATACAGAAACATCACCCTGTGATGTTTAAGGAAGGGTATCAAAGACCACCACAGTCTGAAGAGAACCAAGGCCGTGACGAGGAGATGGAGACTGGAATAAATCTTGGGGAATAAAAATGATCTTTGGTTGTCAGGACATTCATTAGCATTCCTTATTTAGCAGCAGAATCGTAGCTTAGAGATAATTTTCAAAAAAAAAAAAAAAAAAAAAAGAGTTATTTAAAGAATCCATCCAGCCCAAATCTATGATTTTAACACCTGTCACTATAAAAGCAGTACAGAGGGGACCAGATCTCCTTAAGAGATGAACCTCCCTCCTATTAAATACAGGAAGATTTCATAGCCCAACTAAAAACCTTCCCTCTTTCAGCTTGAATCCACTCTCCTTTGTTCTGTCACTGCTCTTGGAAAAAGGCCTTACCCACCTTTCTAGTTGGCTCCTTCAGGCGCTGGAAGGTCACAGTTAGGTCACCCTGAAGCTTCTCTTGTCTGAACAATCCCAGTTCTCTCAGCCTTTCCTCCCAGCAGAGCTGCCCCATCCCTCTGATCACCTCGGTGCCTCCTCTGGGCTCTCTCCAGCAGCTCCACATCCTCCCTGTGCTGGGGACCCCAGAGCTCAGAGGGTTTAAAGCTCTGCTGGAGGTGGTGGACAAAGGTGGGGAGTGTCCCTTCCTCCAAAAACTGTAACAGAAACAGAATCCTGGGAAGGATGGATGGAAATCTCACCCAGGAGTTCAGCATCCTGAAATGCCTGTTCTGAGATTACTTGTGAATGGTCCTGGAGCTGATTCCTCCATGTCCATGAGGGACATTTCTGGGAAGCAGAGCCTGATCTGTCCTGGGGGAAAATTCCAATGACCATAGGCTGGATATGCTTGTCCATTGCTACCTGCTTGGGATGCTGGGTGGATAATGGAATATGGTAATGGTGCTCCTTGTCCTCTGGATGTCTTTGGTGTAATCCCATCTATGACTGATGGTAAAACCCTCAAACCAACCATTCTGAGCCATCAAAGCCTATGTAAAGAAAAAATAATTATTGCAGGAGACACTCCCAGTCCAGCCTGATCATATTTAGCAATCACAGACTTGATCTAAGACAAACTGAGCACGAATCTGGAGTCTCTCCATGTGCTCCAGTGAGGATTCTCTGCTTTTACACTGGTGTAAATGAGACCAAAATCAGAGCCTAATCAGTCCTGGGGGAAGATTCCAATGGCCACAGGCTGGATATGCTTGTCCATTGCTGGCTGCTTGGGATGGTGGGTGGATAATGGAATATGTTAACGGTGCTCCAGCCCTCCTGCTTCTTGTCCTCTGGATGTCTGTGGTGTAATCCCATCTATGACTGATGGTGAAACCCTCAAACCAACCATTTTGAGCCCTCAAAGGAAAATAATGATTCCAGGGGACCCTCCCAGTCCAGCCTGATTATATTTAGCAACCACAGACTTGATCTGAGGCAAGCTGAGCACGAATCTGGAGCCTTTCCATGTGCTCCAGCGAGGATTCTCTGCTTTCACACTGGTGTAAATGAGATCAAAATCTGGCTGTTTCTCCAAGATGGCCGGAGAGAGCGTGAATGAAATCCCCGGCAAAAAATAGAGCCTCGCCTCAGAAACGAGCCCCCCTGGCTGGCAAGGCTCGTCAGGGAGCTGGAGCTACTGAAAAATGCTGCAGACAGAAAATGAATTAGAGGAGGAAAAAAAGTGAAAATGAGCTGGCAGAATCTTTAGGTGACTCATCAGGTGCATCTTGTAAAGTCTCTTTCTGAGAAGTAATGAAATCGCGTGTTCTAACAATATTTGCACTGCAGCGGGAAAAGGCATAAATATTGGGATCAATTAATGAAATTAGATAATTTGACCAAAAAAGCCCTGGAGCTGGCTGGGAAACCATCCCTCTTCCTTTTCGCTTGTGTCAGTGCTTGCTTGCTGGAGAGGAAAATCCCGTGGTTTCGTTTCACGCGGAGGAGAAGCGAGTTCTGGGCAGCCACTGGGATACACTGGGAATTCACCTGCGCCTCAGGGAGTTCCACCTTCACCCCATGGAAGTTCTCAGGCGGGTGCAGAAAAGCCCTGGTGGTTGCCTGGGTGTGCAGCCTCCCACCCTTGGGATTCTTGGATTGGTGAGGGTGGACCCATCTTGTCTCTGTGTCTCTTCGTGTCCTTCAACCTCTGCTTTCCAACGGGAAAATGGGGAATAATGGTTTTCTTTCAAAAGGGAATTTTTCCTCGGGAAAAAGCCTGTGGATATGTGACCTTTAGAAATCCCAGTAGCTTGTTGCTCATGGTGGAGTTCATCACAGAGCTTCAGTTCTGGGGTGTGAGATGACTTTGGGGTGAAATATCGGGGTCGCTGCTATCAATGGGTCAAATGACACTATTTATAATAGAGTAATTATGCTGTTTGTGATACATTAATTACTTTATTCCACCAGTATTTCCATGGATTTATATTTGGGGGAAGGCGCTAAACCTCAGGTGAAGAATGGGGCTCAATGAATCCCCTAAAAACGATGAGCTCTGGGAGCGTGAATGTCTCTCGTGCAATAAAAACCTGGCGCTTGGGTCGGGATTTCGGTGGGGAATCGTGAGCTCCCCGAGCCAAAAAGAGCCATCACCATCTTCAGCTTTATCAGCAGCAAGAGCAGAACCCATCAGGTTATCCTGCCCTTGGATTGGCTGCGGGACAATTGTTGTTGGAATAATTTGTCTGGTTTCTGGCGTCCTCGACTCAAGAGGATGTTGACAAATTGGAAAAGATGTAAAAGAGCCACGAGGGTGGTTAAAAGATTGGCAAACGTGCCTTGCCAAGGGAACAGCTCCTGGCTCGCAGCAATTTTGTATTTTTTTTTTTTTTCCCCTGTAAATGAAGGTTAAAGGGTGGTTTTAGCAGCTCCAAGTACCTGTGGGAAGAGCAAAAATAGACCGTGGTTGTCAGACAGAGGTGGAACAGGCGCCGGTGCAGGGGAGATGAAACCAGACTTGAGCTGAACAGAACAGTTTTTAAGAGCAAAAATGATGTTCTGGTGGGATATTTTATAGGAGTTCTGGTTTTTCACCCATCTCCTGAATTATCTGTTGTGGTATTTGAGAGTCCTGGCTTTTCATCCGTGTGTAGAATCACATACATCAACGTTTATTTGATTTTGGAGGTTGTAATTTGCATTTCGGTGTAATTCTTGGAGGACAACCTTTATTTACTGTGGGTTTATGTATATTCCAGAGCATCTCTTGGTGTTGTGGATCTACTCATTAGCCCTACCTGCACCTCATGTAGGATGAGTTTCTTCCTCAGGGCTCATCAATCTCCATGATCCGAGTCGGATCTGAGTGTTTTGATGCTCTCAGGAAGCAACAGTCAGAGCTAAAAGGACATTTTTTTTTTCCTCTCCACGAGCATTTTTCTGTGCATTTTCCCTGCAAAGAATGAAAACTAGTGCTGCTTATTCTGTTTATTCTGAACCCAGCTTTCATTTGAAGAGACCCCTGCAGGGATTGCTCCACCTTTCTTCCCTGGAAGCCTTGATTTCCGCAGGAAGCTCATCCAAGGAGGGGCTGTGCTAAATTTACCTTGAGATCTACGTGTGGCAGAGACTTTTTGATTTGTAAATCATTAAATACATCCTGCAAGGATGCAGAAAATGAGTATTTTGTGCCAATCCCTCACATTCATTTACTCCAGCAGCTAAAAGATTAATATTTTGGGTTTGGGATAAAACTACATGTTTGTATGTTTCTTTAAATTTAATATTCTCTTTTATTTTTCTAGCTGTGGGGAGCTCAAAAAATCAAGCAGGTAATACACTTTTTGAATATTCCCTGATTATTTTCAACTCTTGCTGCTTTTTCCCCCCTTTTCCCTAAGCTTTTTCCCCTTTTTCCTCTTCTCTGTTATTCCCTTTGCCAGTTGCTGTTTTGCCTTGCCATGGAAATGTAAATGCAGAGAACACTCTGCCACCAAAGAGCCGTAGTTGTTTTTTTATATATATATATTTATATATTTTGATGTCTTCATTTTCTCCTTCCTGTCTAGTCAAGAGATTTCTTGTCTCCAGTCTTTTGAAAATAGTTTGACAGTTCTTTGGGAAGGCTCGTGGCTGTGCCTTCCTCCTCTCCAATCCTGGATCCTTTGGGAATTGATTTTTCATCCCCAGCCATTTAATGCCTGTGCAGCCCCCTGGGGCTCATTGGAAAATTTGGGTAAAAAATGGGCCAAATGAGCCAGATTTAGGATTTCCATGGAATCTGGGCTGTCCAGAGCCACCTCAGTTGGATACACATAAAGGTTGGATTATCTGGCAAATCCAAATCCCGTGTGGGGTTTTGTCTGGATGCCCCTAATGGTGACATCCAGAGTGGGCCATACCTGTATGTTTTTATCCCAAATCATCCTGAAGAAGCATTTCAGATCAAATCCACACCTGGAAATGTAGGAGATGTTCCTCAGACTGAATCCATCCCTCATGGCTGGGCCACCCCAGTCCTGGTGGGTTTCTCCTGTGACCCATTTTCTTCAGGAGCAGAATAAAGTGATTTATATCCTCATCCCCCCTGAGAAAACAGCCCTGCCCTGCCCACCCCTCTGCCACACCGAGGGTTTCCCCCCCTTTCCCATGGCAGAGGTTCAGCCAGGATGTTGACCTGCACCTCAGTGGAGATTCTGGAAACAGGCAGGGCCAAAAATAGTTTTCTTTTCCCCCCTCTAAATCTGCATTTCCCCTGCTGGGGTTAAGATACAGCGGTGGGTGGCCTTTGGGGACATTATAGAACCAAGAAAGAGCCACTCTTTGTATTTCAGGTTAAATTATTTGCTTCTGAATGATTAATTTATGCTAAATTATTCCAGGCCATCATCCATCCCGACACCAACGAGACCATCTTCATGCCTTTCCGGATGTCAGGTATGGTTTGTGCCATTCATTTTACTGGGAATTTGTACAAAATGTTGGGGGGTTTTCTCCTCTTTTTGAATTGAATGTTGTGAACATTTAGAGCAAGATCAGAAAGTAACTCCAACCCCAAAATCCCTTTGCAAGCGAGGAATATGAGGATCATAATTGTTTCTGAGAGATACAGTGCTTAATAATTTCCTTTCCTTTCCTTTCCTTTCCTTTCCTTTCCTTTCCTTTCCTTTCCTTTCCTTTCCTTTCCTTTCCTTTCCTTTCCTTTCCTTTCCTTTCCTTTCCTTTCCTTTCCTTTTTTATTTCTTTCTTTCCTTTCCTCTCCTTATTTCCTTAACATTTCCTCCTTTCCCCCTGAAGAAGAGAGGGAATTCCTATTCCATTGTGGACTCAAGGCAGTGCCTTTTCCAGCATTTTTGAGGTGTCTGTCACTATTTAGAGCATTTCAATTTTGTAGTAAATGCCAGAACCTCGTGCCCATCTATGATGTTCAGTGCATGGGATGAGCCCTCTTTTTTCCATGTGTGATGATACCTAACAGCCATGGCACTGGAATTCCAGGGAGGATCAGCTTCTCCATTGCTTCCCTGGGCTGCCATTCACGAGTCCACAGCTGCCTCTGCTGTGAGTTGATCACGGTGGAGAATCCCTCCTCTCCCAAGGGATCTGTTTAAATAAACAGAACCTTTCCCATATTTTTTTGTGGAGTATCTTCTCCAGAACACTGGGCACAGGGGAAAGAAATCACAGGGTTTGGTGGGTTTTGTCCTCCAGTTCCTTGAAGAAGGATAATGTTGAGGGTGGAGAGAACCCAGGACCAACTTGCTTTGCTGCCTTGCTCTGTATTTGTCTTTTCAGCTTCTCTTCCTCTCAGGTCTCTGCCCTTTCCTTGGCTCCCTGATGGTTTAATTCAGTAATATTGGAAAAATGCTCCGAGACCTTCTAGTGGAAGTCAGAGAGATGAATTATAATTAGCACAGAAATTGGCAGGCTTAGCGGGGGAAAAATGTGAAGAAATGTTTGATTTTCGTGGTGCTTAGTGAGGTTTGGGGTAAAGACTTGTCTCTGTATTAGAGAGCTTTAACCCCTACCTGGGATTAGAATAGTCCCTCTCTCCTCCATGATGAAAATACACCTTCTTCACCTTATACCCCCATCCTTTTTCACCTGACCTCGAAATAGATGAGCTCTCCTGGCATAAAACCACCAGTGGAGAGGTGGATAAAGCAGGTGGTGAAAGAGGGAGGTCCCACTAAAGAAGGTCCTGCTCCTTACCTGGGATGGGCTCTGCAGCTTCTTAGGTGGCTTCATGAGCATCTTCAGGATGCTATTCCTGCTGGGAGCAGGCTCAGCAGGAGGGGAAGGGGCACAGAGAGCTGCAGAGTTTTCTGCTGGGTTGGGGGAAGGTTGTGGGAGGGTCTGATGAGCGACAGAGCTAGCACGAGGGAGGGAACAGATTGCCTGAGCCTGGGAAGGGGGGCAGGATCTCCCCTTTTCCATGGCAGGAATCCACTGGGTCAGCTCAGTCAGCACCGCCACGGCAGGATCCGGCTCCTCCAGGTCCCAGTGGAGCAGGTCCAGCTCTGAGCTCCCATCCCTGTGCTTTGCTGATGGGAGATGGGGCTGCCTAGAGCAGCACAACAACACCCTCTCAAGTTCCAGCAGGCCCAGACGGGGTTTACTGGAGTCACCTTTTCCATCGAGAGGGTTGAAGCTTTAGGGAGACTCTCAGAACCCGAGAAAACAAATAAGGGATGGGAAGGAGATGGGACAGAAATCAGGAGGATGCTCCAGGTGTTGTAGGTCCAAGATGTCCCCGTGGTGGGGTGGAGGTGGTGAAGTGAGAGCAGCTCGTGGTGCCCAGGTGTGGCTTCTTCCCTAAACTGAGACATGTCTTAGGTGGGATTTTTTTTCCATCCCAAAAATCACAGATTAAAACTCATTAAGCTCTTTTTTCTTCATAGGTTACATTCCTTTTGGAACACCCATCGTAAGTATTTTAACATCTCTCCCCACTTTGTTTGTGAGCACCAAGAAATGCATTTTTTAGCACAGTTCTCCACATTCCACCTTTTCACCTCGTGACATGTTCCCACAGGATTCCCACCTTTCCCACTTCATGTTAACAAGGGTCTAATCATGTAAAACCCACCCTCTGGATGAGGTTCTCTGTCTATTATTGAGGTTATTTATCTATTAATATATTGAGATTATCTATCTATTATATACGAGATTATTTATCTATTAACCCACCCTCTGCTTGAGGTTCTTTATCTATTATGAGGTTATTTATCTATTAATATATTAAGGTTATTTAATATGAGGTTATTTATCTATTACATATGAGGTTATTTATCTCTTAACCCAACCTCTTCCTGAGGTTCTTTATCTATTAATATATTAAGGTTATTTATCTATTCTGTATCAGGTTATTTATCTCTTAACCTCTTCCTGAGGTTCTTTATCTGTTCAACATCGTTCCCCCAACCTCCTCCAACATCTTCATGTTTCCCTCTGGGGAGGGAAGACCAAGCTGAGCTCATTGCCTGCAAAATGCAACTCCTGCAAGTCTCAGATTTCAGCCTTGGACACTTTTATTTCTCATTTACATGATTTACAAGCCTCTTCCCAAACATGACGAGCTCCAGGCACGGCGGGGTCGGTGTCGTGCGCTTCTCGTCTTGATTAATTAAATCCCTGAGCGTTTCCCTGGGGTTATTCCTGAGGGTGTTGGGAGTTTGTACTTGTTGTTGTGAGATTCGTAAGGCTTTGGGTGCTCTCGACAGCAAAAGGGAGATGATTCTGCCTGTTTTCCTCCCGCTGAAACCTCGGCTCTTCTCTGGGAGTGGGAGCGGTTCATTAACCCCATTTTTGTGGGATCGGGGAAACTGAGGCTCGGAGTTTTGCCCCAGAAATTTGTGGTGTCAGGAGGCGGTTGATCCTCAAAGCCACCAGCTCGTGGTTCAGCTTTTTAGATCGCACATTAAAATGGGTCAAAGAGCAAGATACGCTAAATTTAATCTTCTTAGACCCCAGTGGTCCGTGGCTTAGACTTGGTTAAAGGTAACAGCCTTTTCCCGAGGTGATAACGACGGTGATAACGAGGTTGGAAGTCCTAAAAACAGGGATCGTCGCGGCTGCTGCTATTTGTTGTGGCGCTTAAAGGTTTGGTGGCAACTTTGTATGGGGCATTTTAAAAGAAAAGGTTAAACAAAAATGAGTTAACGATCAAATTGACAATGAAATCGGCCCAAATCCAGAGCTGTCAGAGGAGCCGAGAGCTGTCAGATGAGCCCAATTTCACTATCTGTAAAGGATAAACTGGAACCTCTTGTCATTTAAAAAAAAAAAAAAAAAAAAAAAAAAAAAAAAAAAAAAAAAAAAAAAAAAAAAAAAAAAAAAAAAAAAAAAAAAAAAAAAAAAAAAAAAAAAAAAAAAAAAAAAAAAAAAAAAGAAGAAGAAGAAGGAAAAAAAAAAAAAACCCAAACGTTTCAAATGTTAAAATTAAAATGTAACATTTATGCCAATCGATCTGTGAAATTTAGTGACAAAATTGGCAGCCTGCTCCAGCATAAAAGCAGTTTGAGTCTTGTATTTCACATAGGGGGGGATGGGATTTCCTCAAGAGAGGCTGTGCTGGGCTCGGGCTGAGCTCGTCCTGCTGGTGTTGGGGGTCAACTGAACCCCCCCGTCACCCCCCGGAGACGTGATCGGGCTGGCTATAGCAGGTTTAGGGCCCATCAGTCGATACACTCTGGGCTGTGCCCAGGGGGGTTTATTTCCCCCCCCCCGCCATTTCGGTAGCCGATGCAAAATAATTCAGTCTGGTTGAGCTCATTGTGAAAGAGATTAAGGGTCTTGTTAAAATAATCGTTTCTTTTCTGGCCCCGGCGGCAGCTCCCCTCTGACACCACCAAATCCTGTTTGCTCTTCCCTCGGTTTACAACTGTTTGCTTTTTCCCCCGATTCAGCCTCCGTCCTTTCCGTGCCGGGCTCGGGGATTGACCCCAGGATCACCTGCGGTGGCAGAGCAGGGGACAGGATGGGGATGTAAATGTAGGGAGAGTCTGGCTTTACCCATTTTACCCATTTTCAGCCCAGGAGGGAGCGAATCCGGCCACTGGAATTACCTCCCTGTGCTGGAAAAGGGGGTGAGATGTGCCAAGCAGCTGCTGGGCTGGAGTCTTTTCCCCCTGGGTTTGTGTTTCCTCCTCCGAGGGGAGGAAGATTTACCCGGGTTTAGGAAATTCAGCCTCAAACCCGGGCAGTGAAAACGCCCCAGCTGTGCCCAGCTGCCACCCGCGGCTTCCAGCTCCTTATTTTCCCCGTCCATTGAAAACCGGGAGGGTCCTGATGGGGTTTTAAGGTGCCCTTGAAGACCCAGGTTAATTTAGGGGTGAGATGACTCTCGGGTTTGGGGTTTGGAATAGAAGAGCTCGGGCTGCTCAGAGCTGACAGATGTCCAAGCCCTGGCTTTGGGGCCATAAAGGGACATTCACACCTCGTCACCAATTAAATTTTGTCGCCGGTACTGGTGTTTAGAACCTTCTTTTTTTTTTTCCCCCCCCTGTATTTTGTTTTCCTTCTTAGTTATTTTTTCCCCTGACAGTAATTAAAAGTGAAATTGTACATTTCTTGACAGACTCTTGCACATATGGAGAGTTTGCATTTAAACGTGCCTCTTTCAGTCATACAGATTTTGGGTGCTCTTTTTTATTTATTTATTTTCCTCCACGTATTTTTTTTTCCCTTTCCCCCCCCATCGGCTCTCAGCTTTCAGCTGACAATGCGAGTCCCTGCCTGGCGTCTTCCCGCTCCTCCGGAGCCTCATTATCCCGCTGGCTTCAGGGGGAAAGTCACTCCTGGGGGTGAGGAGGTTCCTCGCCTGTTGAATTCGTTTGGCTGCGAGCGGCGACGGAGTAATTAATGACGAGCTCTGGGCGCTGAATGGAAGCGGTAAATTAGTGTAACTTGCACAGGCTGGCGCTCGGCCAACGCACAAAAAAGTAGCTGCAACTTCACCAAAGGCTGGAGGAGGAAAAGCTGCAGGAGGAGGAGGAGGAGGAGGAGGAGGAGGAGGAGGAGGAGGAGAAAGGAAAGATGCAAAAATCAGGCCGCCCAACCCCGCTACCCTTTTGTTCGGTGGTATTTCTCCCTCCCAAGGGAGGGTCGAAGTTGCCTCCTCCTCTCCAGCTGATGCTGCTGCAGATGTTGCAGCTCGAGCTCAGCCTTGCTCTCGGGGCTCCGGCGATGGGGAAGTTTTCTGGCAGGTTTGTTGGTGTTTTTTTTTTTTTTAAGGACTGAAGTGAAAGGAAATGGTGGAGAAGCTGGTCTGAGGGTGGGGATGAGCTCACAGCCTTCTTGCCCAGACGCCTCGGAGACGTGAGTGTCCTGAAAATAAACGTGTTCGGAATTAAAAAGGAGTTTGCTCAGTCTTTGTACTCCTTGTGATTTTGCAACAGTCTTCTTCAGAAAATAGCAGGCATTTAGGGCACAGGAGGAGGCAAAATGACAGTGATGTTAGGAAGTATCTCATCTCACCTGTCTCTTACCCAAGAACTCGTCGTCCTGTCCATGTTTTTTAGGTTTATCATTGGGAGTCCCCTTGCTTTGCATCCCTTTCCTCTCCTTCAACCTCTCAGGCTCTGAAAGGAAAAAAATTGCCATAAAATAAGGGGGAAAAATGGCCATGAAGAAGGAAAAAATGCCGTAAAACAGGATAAAGTGCCATAAAACAAGGCAGGTTGTGTGTCAGAGATGGGTCTTTGGAGGATTGCGGGGGACGTGTCCATGCGGTGGAGCGAGACACGTCCCAAGGACGTTCTCAGGACCCGTTCAGGAAAAATAACACCTGTGAGACCTCAGATGGGTGAGCTCGCAAAGCCTGTGGCATCGCCGTTCAGGCAGCAGCCGGGAACATCTGGCCAGATGTGCTGGGACAAGCTGCTGGGAACCTCGAGGAGACGACGATCGTCACCCCGATCGCTCCTAACCCGGGCAGGAGTTTTCATAGCTCAGGATACGACACATCCACAAGGCTCTTGAAACAAAATCCAGGCTCCCAAACGGGAGCACATGTGCTTCCAGGTGGCATTCCTGTCCTCAGATGTTCGAATGGAAGATTTCTTTCTTGTGCTTCCAACCGGGAACGTGCCAAAGGAAAATGGGAAACCCCCTCCCCCGTTCGCTGCCAGTAGTGCCAACTTTGAACTCTCGCCTTCAGGCAATGTTTGTGTTTTCCTCCAGGAATACCTGGATGGAGGAACTGGTTGTGTTGTAACGACCTGATCTTTGCTGCCAGAGTATTTCCAAGGTGTATTACAAGCAGTAATCAAAGATGCAAAGCTTTGATGGGCAGCTTTGCATCACCCGTTTTCTTTCCCCACTGGAAAACTGAGGAGCGAGAGGCTGATGGGAAGTGCAATAACTAAAATTAACGAAAGCCATAAATGATGATAACTTATTCAAGCCTAGAAATAAGCTCGGCTGTTTGCACGCCCGGGGAGAGCACTGAGAGCAAACCGAAAGAGCATTTACTGATGGGGAAAAATCTCTTCTCTTTGCAGGTTGTTGGTCTCCTCTTGCCCAACCAGACGCTGGCATCCACAGTGTTTTGGCAGGTAACACCTGCTGGGATGGGTGGGGGATGTGGGGGAGAGGAGAGTGGAATATTGCCTGGAGGACAAATTGATGCACCTTGCTGTTCTGCTCTGTTCATGATTTACGGGGAGGATGTGGCTGGATATGATTAGGGAAGGGTTTGGTAGGCCTGGAAGGGACTATAAACCAGCCCTTGGGTCCATTTTTATCCCACAGCTACTTTTGCCATCACAATGGAAGAGGCAGAATGGTCCAAAATCTTAAAATCCGCCCTTTGAACTCATTTGGTTCAGGTGTAGATGGAAACAAAAAGAAAATTTTGGCACGTCTGCTGATCTGAGGACACCCTGACACGTAGTTTGGATCTTCCCTGGTGAATTCCCCTTGGGAGTGCAACATCTGTGCAGGGCTAGGGAACAGCTGGGCCCTGCAAAGCCAAGGACCTCTGGTGTTCAGTTTGCTGCAGGAGCTTTGGGAAAAAAAACCAGGCTGTGTGTAGGGAGGTGCTGGTGTAATTTCCCACTAAAATTCTGGGAATCAGGAGCACGGGCAGGAGGTGTGCACGTGAATGAGTTACATCCATAGTAAACACGCCGCTCCAGTGCGATTTCAGCGCTCGCTGAGACGAAGGAACAAGTTATTTTCAGACTTAATTTTCGGTGGTGGATGTCTTTTCATTGTCTGCAGCGTAAGTGATGATGGGGAATTATGCAGTCAAGGAACATCAAAGCAGGGTGGGATGTGCCTGGTGTGTTAAAAGCACGGCAGAGCCGAGAATCCATCGGAACGTGCCGGTAATTTGTGATCTGGTGGGTTTAGCTGGAGGTTGTCCCCTGTGGATTCGCCTGCTGGGAGTGGGAGAGTGGCTGGAGAGATCCTGACTCATCCAGGGTTTTGTAGGCAGCTCCCCCCACCTGTTTTTAGACACCTGTGTTGGAATCACAGAATGGTTGGGGTTGGAAGGGACCTGAAAGAACATCTTGTTCCAACCCCCTGGCATGGGCAGGGACACCTTCCACTAGCCCAGGTTACTCCATCCTGGCCTTGGACACTTCCAGGGATGGGGCAGCCACAGCTTCTCTGTTCCAGGGCCACTTTAAAGCCATCTGTATCCATAAGCTGGTACATCTGCTCATCTCCTGTTCCTCAGCTGAAACCTCTGTTTGGGAAACTTGGAGCTTAGTAAGTGGCTGATGAAACGGCTGCTGGGCTTCCTGCTCCATCCTGGCAACAGGATGGGTTTGATGCTTGGACATCAGGAAGAATTTCTTCACAGAAAGGGTGATTGGACATTGGCAGGGGCTGCCCAGGGAGCCAGCAGAGTCCCCATCCCTGGAGGGGATGACTGGATGTGGCACTCAGTGCTCTGGGTTGGGGGGCAAGGTGGGGATGGGGCGCAGGTTGGACAGGATGACCCCAGAGGTCTTTTCCAACCCAAGTGATTCTGTGATTCCATGAAAATAAAAGACCAATAGCACTGGGGTGTTGTGTAGAGGTGGGTTGTGCCAGCAGAGGAGTTGCACATCAAGCTTCCAGGGAACCAGAACCGCCCTCTGGGCAAAACCACGACAGGGCCCAAAGGCAGATGGATTTCCCCCGTTAGAACACGCACATTTACAGATCCATTTATTTTCCCCGAAGTCCTGCTGACGCCTGTCTCCCCTTGTTCCCTCTCTAGTGGTTGAATCAGAGCCACAACGCCTGCGTCAACTATGCAAACCGCAACGCGACAAAGGTGAGGAGGCCCAGCATATGTGGCGCGTCAGGGCTGTTCCCACACCGAGACAGAAGTCCTGTCTCTTCCCTGTTAACGGGAACTCCGGGAGGAATTTACAGCTCGGCCATTCTCCCGGGTGGGCTCCCGGTTGAACCCCCAGCTGGGGGTCTGGGCGTGGCTGGAGGCTCAGAGATGATGCTCAGAGTTAAACCCCAGACTGGGGGGGTTTAACTGGTGTGCGAATGAGCACAAAGCTGGGTGTTGTCAGGGTTTTTGGGCAGGACAAGGTGTGTCTCCACGAGCACCCTGCTGGCTCCCCAGGGCTTCGTCTGTGCTGCCAGGGAGTGGAGGGGCTGCTCCCTCTCCCTTCCTCCTCCTCAGCCTTCATTCATCCCGTGTCAGGATGTGGGAAGCCGAGCTGGAAACCGTCCAGCTCGCTGAGATAACGTTTCAAAGACAAAATATTTAATGTGGCGAGTTTGGGGTTCAGCACTAGAGGGTAAAAATGCTAATTTGGTACCATTTGCTGAGTTTCATTCCCATCCTTCCTTTGAGCTGCTATTATTATAATTTTCTGATGCCAATTAATTTTCCTTTCCCTTTAACCTCGCCCATGAGGCCACGGTTTCCCTCGCTCTTGCCTCTGCTTGCTGACAGACCGTGTGTCACAGAACAATATGACAAAATTCAACCTGTCTGTGCTTTAAGACAAACGAAACCAAAACAAACCAAAAAAAAAAAAAAAAAAAAAGAAAAACAACACCCAAATGAAAAAAAAAACTTTGTTGTGTTTTAATAACCAGAAGTTTGTTTATGGAAAATATGTTTTCTTTTTTTTCTTTCCAAAGCCTTCTCCGACATCCAAGTTCATCCAGGGCTACTTGGGAGCTGTCATAAGTGCTGTCTCAATAGCAGTGGGTAACGCTTTATGTCTCTTTATTTTCGTGGCTTGCCTCGGTGCTTTGGAGATGCTTGTTGGGGCTGCCAAGCATGTTTTTGTCTTTTAATTGACAGAACTCAGTCTTCATAACCAGAAAAACTGTAACCCTGAGGTGTGCCTGTCCACGCATGCCAAAGCTTTTCCCCAGAGGGAGACTTCTGTGTGCTTCCAGAACTCCCTGCCCCGTGGCTTTGCTGCTCCGTGAACTCAAATTATCAAATTATCCATTAACTGGGGGTGAATTTGCCTGTTCCAAATTAGAAAGGGACACTTTGAGGCTGCAGGGTGGTGGTGTGGCAGCTGAGGTGCTGGAGAGAGGCAGGACTCTGGAGATGTTCCCCTGGTGGGTTGGCACCTCGATCCACGGTGCTCGGAATTGCATCCTTCACCTGGGGACATTTTTCAAGCTGGAAACGGTGCTCAGATCTTACTGAGGAATCATGGAGTGGTTTGGGTTGGGAGGGACCTTAAAGATCATCCAGTCTCACCCCCTGCCATGGGCAGGGACACCTTCCACCAGCCCAGGGTGCTCCAGCCTGGCCTTGGACACTTCCAGGGATCCAGGGGCAGCTTCTCTGCCCAACCTGTGCCAGGGCCTGCCCACCCTCACAGCCAGGAATTCCTTCCCAATATCCCGTTTAAATCTCCCCTCTTCCATTTTGAAGCCATTCCCTGTGTGCTGTCCCTCCATGCCTTGTCCCCAGTCCCTTTCCAGCTCTCCTGGAGCCCCTTTAGGCCCTGCCAGGGGCTCTCAGCTCTCCCTGGAGCCTTCTCTTCTCCAGGGGAACCCCCCCAGCTCTCCCAGCCTGGCTCCAGAGCAGAGGGGCTCCAGCCCTTGGAGCCTGTGGCCTCCTCTGAAGTCATATCTGAAATAACCTGTGGGAGAGGAGCTTTTAACATCATTAAAATCATTGTCTTGTGACTTCTAACACTCCTATTTCCCAGCAGCACAAGTTGACATTGGTAGCAGGGTCAGCTCATTCCCAAAGGGGCAGGGACGTTTCTCAGGAGCAACTCAGGGAAGTTATTTCTTACACAGGGTTTTCAAGTAAGCCTCTGAAGTAAATGGTTGTACCTTTCCTGCTGGAACATTAAGGATCCCACAGTAAATATCAAAAAATTGTATTTTTTTCCCCCCCTGGCCAAGCTTTTTTCCTTTTTCTTAAGCCACGGAAAGTTTGATTTTGCCTCTTGTGCAGCTGCCAGACAACTTTGCAGAGGGTGCAGAGTTGTTCAAGTGCCTTGAGGTTTCAAGGGGGAGCTCTCTATTTTGTTGGATACACAACTGTTGGATAATTTTCCGTGTTTCTGGCTTGGCCTGCTCTGTATCCCCCCCTGTTACCCCTTCACTGCAGAATTAACCCTGCACAGCCCAGCCCGGCGTCGGTGTGAGCTCCCACACTTCATAACCCCATGGAGCTGTTCCCACACCAATTTACACGCTTTTCCAGCTGAAGTATAATCCAAATCCCCATCCCACCAACCTCAAGGCTTCAGTCAGCAGCTGTTTTCCATCCACAGCCTCCATGGGAGAGCTTGACTGTCCCCCCAGTCCTCAGCTCAGCATTTTTCCCACCCCATGAACGACTAAAGCCAAGTTCTCCGGCTTGATGTGCTGCTGCCACTCACAGCCTGCCTTCCAACCCCCCAGCACGGCTCCAGCAATGAAAATTCCACCTTGCTGGCATTAATGCTCCTCTCCATTTCGGCAACAGGGGCAGATTAGAGGGGCAGGAGAGCTGGAGGAGTGATGTTGGCAGAGTTTTGGCACCCTGAGGAGCTTTGGTAAGGAAACCGCTTTGGGAGGTGTCTGTGTTGGGACAGCTGGTGCAGGTTCTTGGGAATCTTTGGTTCCTCCAAGGCTGACTCAGATCCTGCAAAGAAGGTGAAGTGCTTTGTAGCTGCAGTGCCCTGAGGGTCAGAATACTGTTCCAGAGAGGCAGGAGCTTCGAACAGATCCGTGGATGCAGATGGGTGGGGTGGAGACGGGCAAAAGCCTTCCTGGGTCCTTCTTCTTCCTGGTGCTGGAAGGAGGGTCTCCTTCCAAGTGGAGCCTTTGGGGGCACTCCTGACCTCTGTGTTACTGTGGAGTAACTTGTGTCCTCCTCATCCCTGACAGGCACTTAATCCCTGGTCACTTCCCAGCGTGGAGAAAACCCTGCAGAGCAGGGAGGGGTTTTTAGGTGGTAAATACCTGGATTAATAACCGGTTTGGGTCTTTTGTAAATGACGATGACCACGACAAATAATAAATAGCCCTGAGGTTCATTACGTGGTGTCCTCAGCCCTCATTAACTGCTCTGTGCCGTCAGTCAGCAACAAATCAGCTCCCAGTGGGAGCCTCCCGTGGGCTGTGGAGAGCCAGGATTAATTAAAGTGAGCCCCTTCCACGCCTGCAGTTGGCAAAGGATGCGGGAAGGGACGGAGCAGCTGACAGGGGATTGCCCTTCCCCTCATCCTCACTTGTCTTTCACAAGGGGGACAAGCAAACTGCTTATTCAGGTTTTTGGCTTGATGCGTCTTGCAATGGGAGAAATCGTAGGGGATCTCTGGAAATAGCCTGATTTTTTTCCTGGTTTAGACAGAGAGGAATCACTGTTGGAAAGGGGCGATGCTTCTCCCTCAGATCTGGCGCTGCATCCACAGCTCCTGATTTCCAGCCCTTCAGGACGAGTCTGAGGAGGAATCAATATTCTTTTACTTGATGTTTTTCAATATTTTCCCCCCAGTTCTCCTTTTTTCTTTCCACCTACTCCCGTGCCCACCTGATTCACACAGAGCTTCGAGCAAGGAAAGCTCTGCTGGGTCCAGAATTTTATTTCTTCTCAGGTGAAGGGAATCGCTTGAAGTAAGGCTGGAAAAGATGTTTGGGTTGGAAGAGATCCCAAAGATCATCCAATTCCAACCTCTTGCCATGGGCAGGGGCACCTTCCACTAGCCCAGGTTGCTCCAAGCCTCGTCCAACCTGGCCTTGGACACTTCCAGGGATGGAGCAGCCACAGCTTCTCTGGGCAAGTTCTAAAATTTCTGGTTGTTTTTCTATGATTGTAGTTTATTTTTATCCCATTCTTCCAACACCAGCCTCTTTCCTGCCTTTTCCTTTGATAGCTCCTGTTCTGATAGCTCCTGTTTTACCTCTGTTCTGAGCGATAATTGTTATTTTTTTCCCCAAACAATTGAGTGGATTCCTGTGATTAGGCTTTATTTTCACAGATCTGGCTGCTGTTCCTGGTGGTGGTGTATGAACCTCAATTAATACCAGCTGGTTTTCCTAAACGAGGCAAACAAAGGCAGAGAGGAGTAAAAAAGACTTGAGAAAGACCAAGCGTGTTTTAAATGTTTGGGATTTTTTTTTTTCTGTGCCCCAAATATTCCAGTGCCAAGAGCTGTGCAGATCAGAGGGTTTGTAATTAGGCAGAAACTCTTTCCAACTCACACACACACACACACACACACACACACACACACTCTCTTAACTCTATTTTTTTCCCCACTTTTAAAAGGTTAAAAAAGCTACAGAAAGCCAATTTTATTGGTAATGACTGCTTTTTCTATGTTATAATTTTATATATATTATTATTATTATGATGATTATTTATATATATAAAAATAGATTTCTTCTGCTCAGAGAAGCTGTGGCTGCCCCTGGATCCCTGGAAGTGTCCAAGGCCAGGTTGGAGCAACCTGGGCTGGTGGGAGATGTCCCTGCCCATGGCAGGGGGTGGCACTGGGTGATCCTGAAGGGTCCCTTCCATCCCAAACCATTTTAGGGTTCTCTTGATTCTTGATTTCAGATCCAAACCTCATTTTCTGTGTTCATTGCTGATCCCTTTTGGTTCTGACTCAGCTCTTCATTACTATGACATCAGACTCAAACTTCAGTCTGAGGTCAGAAGGGACTCTTGGGGCTGCCATGAAAAAACTGAGAATTAAACCAGGTCCAGACAAGGGCTGTCAGCAGCCACTCTCTGGTCTCTGGGTTGCCACTGGTGCTCAGACCTTCAAGTTGGTGACTGCTGGTGTTGACCCAGGGGTTGCCTCACCTGGAGCCCGTGGGGGTGAGTCCTTGGGTTCCTCGAAGCGTCTCACAGTGGTGCCGTCACTGCCACTGTCTTAAAATCAGATCTTTATCCCTCAGTTTTTCAATTTCCACGATCCTGGCTTCGACTTCCGCCAAGAAGCAGCTCCAGACCTTGCTCCTTGTGATACTGCAGACCTTGTGCCAGCTCTCTGAGGGGTCTCCTCTCTCCTGCCAGCCCCGTTTGGCCGCGTGTTGTCACTCAGCTCCCTGCTCAGGTGTCGGCTCTTTTGTCCATCTGCTGTCCACCCCACGTTCCCTGGAGGTGCCAAGTGCATCCAGGCTGCTGGCATGGGGCTTTCCTGATGACAGGATGGGCTCTAATTAGACTGTGGGAAGCCTGGCAGGGACACAGAGTGTGTTTTATTTATATGGGGGTGTGTAAGTTAACCAGGAAACATCTCGTGGCAGCCGAGGTTTAGGTTGGATCTCAAGGTTCTTCCCCCAGAGGGTGGTTGGCACTGAACAGGCTCCCCAGGGCAGTGGGCACAGCCCCAAGGCTGCCAGAGCTGCAGGAGGGTTGGGATGATCCTCTGGGGCACAGGGTGGGGCTCTTGGGGCTGGGTCTGTGCAGGGCTGAGGGTTGGGCTGGATGGTCCTTGGGGGTCCCTCCTAGCTCAGCATATCCTGGGATTCCCCCTTGAGCAGGGCTTCAATTCTCCCCCAGTGAAAGGGGAAGCAAAACCACGTGTGTGAGATCAGACACCTTCCTTCCCCTTTCAAACACACCAGGCTTTGTAACTTCTAACAGTGTTTTTATTAAGTCCAAGTTTGGGATCTGTGGTCTCGTCAGCACAGGGACAAATAAATATGTTGTTCTCACTTAGCAACCTGAGCTAAATTCTGACAAAAGTAGGTGTTTTGTCTTCTTTTGTGTAAGAGAGAGAGAGAGAGAT